TTTGACTAGTGGTGAGCAGGGCAGAGAGTTTGATAAAACCTGTTTGGAACGATCATTATTTTTGCAATTCCATTTGGTCTATGAATTTACAATCTTTTAAAAAACAACAACTGTTTATTAGGTTCCTTTGAAATTGTTTGACACTTAGTCTCTGTGAGGAGAAATGGAGAGTGCACGGCATTCTGCCTCGTCCCACAGGAAACTCTCTGTCAGATAGGAAGTCTACATATAGACTCAACAGTCAGCAGTGGACTCCTCTCCTGCCATCCTGTTTGTTTGTCATGTTTCCTCTCTACTGTTTAGGGGACGTCTTCTAGAGTGATCTCCCCAGTGCCCACTTATATTGTTGATGACTAAATTATCATTGATGTTGTTATGATTAGAGGTGCTACTATATGTTTCGATGATGATAGCTTTAAAAAGGCTTGTATTATGCCAATATTTACCCTACTGGGAATCCACTGTTTTGGAACATGATAGCTGGTTTCTTTAGCTTTGACCAACTTAAGTGGTCAAGCTATATTTTTTGAACATGGTCAATGGTCAACCTGTTAACAACTAGCTAATGACCATCTTAGACCCGCTAGAAACCAGCTACCATGTTCCACAACACAACTGTCATCTTCAGCTGAATTTTTCTCCAGTGTAGACCTGTATAACCCCAGCTCAACAATAGACTCTTTCTTGCTCTTGGATTCTTATCTCAGGGTTATATATTTCACTGACGTTGACATGAGCATGCACACAAGAGCCTTTGATGGTGTTCTGGTGACCTTTGCCCATGTGTCTTCACTGTGCAGGTGGTCTACCGGTTATTAGCTTGTAACCAAGCCTCTGGTATTCTTAAAACAATGAGTGATGGAGAAAACAACATACCAGAGATTTTGCACAGCCCTTAAAAGCATCCCACAATACTAAGTAAGTGTATTAGAAAGATCAGCTTTGGAGCTAAAAACAAAGTTCTGATTAGCATTTTATTAGGTCCATAGCCTGTAGACATGGGATGGGATAGGATAGGAACTGTAAATAGCAAGGTTCATCAAGTTTGCTTTTTTATTCAATTGCCATGTTTAGACCTCTTGAGAATCAATGTTACATAATTATACTTGGTAGTAGAATTTCTACCCACTCATTGCTATTTTAAGTCACTTTGCAACATTTTTGTGGCCAGGTCTAAAAATGGAAGAAGGTGTTTAGTCAGCCACATCCATGTGTTTGTCTGTGGCCATAATCATACACTCACAGAAATGGCAGTATTTTATCATCTGCCCCTCAATTGTCTGTCAAGATAGGCCTATATCTGGTGCACGCACTGATCAACATGTGGTGTTGTTTTCTTCAATAACGTCCTCTGAAGTTTGGACATCTTTGGATATGAAGAGGCCTTAGGCATTGTGATCACATGTCGTGGAAACAAGTTCAATGACAGCAAACTGTTGAACAGGAAGACAGGGCGGGACATGTAGAGCAGCTCCTCCCCTTTTTAAAATAACCAATAAGTGAGAAAATTTTTGAATGTTTATATCTTGTAAGTTTTTAATGTTTATATCTGCAAATTTTGTCATTTTTTGGAGCAAACTAGCTTATAAATTACCTTAAAGGTATAGTTCATCCAAAAATTTAAATTATTATACTTTTTGTGCACGTAGAAAACACTAATAACAACTAATAACAAATCAGACTGTTAAATAAAGTCAGAAAGAAAAGCTCTTGGATTTCAGCTCTCGGTCAGAAAGCTCTCGTATTTCATCAAAAATATCTTAATTTGTGTTCCGAATATAAACAAAGGTCTTACGGGTTTGGAACAATTGGAATGATTTGATCAAATATCATCAAATTCAATTATATAAAAATTATTTTTAGTATTATTATTTACTAATGCATTTATATTTATATCATTTTATTTTATTATGTTGCAATCAGCATTGTTTTCTCCATCTGTCCATACCCCTATATCAGAACAGAACCAATTTTAAGTAGAAGTACAGTTTTAGAGCAATGCTTCACCACCAGGTAGAGGTCTCTGAGCAGGCAGCTTGCAGAAGATGACACACTATTGAAAAAGCTCATCATCTCTCTCTCCATCTCTGTCCCTGTACTTTCAAGCTCAGCTGAAATTCCACTGATGAATAATCCACTGCACCTCAAGGCAGGAACTAGAAAGCTGTTATTACACTTCAACAGCTAGGACTCACTTTGAGCATCTTGTACCACATTTCTTCACTCTTTTATAAACCAATTACAAATTTCTTCTCCTTCAGCATTTCCTCGGCATACACAATATTATCTTGAAGGAAAATCCTTTAAATAAACCTCTGCAATATGTATGAGAGAGTGGATCACATGTGGTGGAGCATCTACATTCCAAAAACCACTATCATGTCTTTCCATTCAGACATGTGTCCTCTCCTTCCAGCCCACAGTGCTGTCATTTTGAAGAGCTGAATGTTGTGTCATCCGTCTTTCAGAACGATCCAATATCTCTTCTCTAAACTTGACACTTAAGCATTATGAATGCAAGCCTGAAAAGTTTGAAAGCACACTTCTACTGAAGAAGAAAAAAATCTTAATCAGTGTGTTTATCTTGTTTACCAAGAAAAAATTCTAGACATTCTTTAAATAAATCTGATGAGGATATATAATAATAATAATAATAATAATAATAACTGGGGCAGAAACTATGATATGATATGATATATGATAACAAAATAACTTTTTTGAATTACTATATATTGAATTAAGTTTTTTTTACCCCATTGAATTTTTTAAAAAGTTTTAAGCATAAATCTCAATAAATTTGATGATGATGATGGTAATGATGATGATGATGATGATAATAGTTATACAAATTAGAAACTATATAATATTCAAGATTATTCAAGATATATTCTCTGTATAATACGAGTCTTATGCAATTTTGCTTCTCAGGTAACCTGATTTTTAAGGATGTTTTTTTTTTTCCCCCTGGAAAACAGACATACACATACTGAATACATACACTTATGCATCATTTAGGAAAATAATTTTAGAGGTGTGGCTCTGAACATATGATTTGTCTCTTCACTTAATTGCATGTGAGCTAGTTTGGAGTCACTGAGCAACGAACCAGACCTACATGCCGTCACTCGACCACATCTCTTCATCTTTTTCCATAGCACTCTTCAGGCAGGGTGCCGCATCCACAGAGAGCGTCTCTCCTATTTGAGCACGCTGAAGAGAGACAATAACAGCCTTTATGCTGCATGCTGGAAATATGTGCTGTCCTTCACATTGTTGGGTATGATAATGTGTGAGCGTGTGTAATTTGGAACAGAATCAAACTCTGTATAAAGACACTAGTAGGGAAATGTGACTCATTGCCCCTTATATCGTGCAAATCGGCTTTGATGAGCTAAGAGGCATGTGGCAATAACAGAGTTTTGGATTGTGATCAAACCCAATCTCAATCTGTCAGATCTTCTGTCTGTCTGCCTCTCAGTCAGTTTTTGTATATTTCCCAGATGACCTACTGTACATATACTTCCATTATCACTCTCTTGTGTTTGCTTCAACTTCTTAAACTTCCTCTCTTCACTGTAATTCTTTTTTCTTTTATGGAGATCAATTTTTTTATTGACCAGCGAACTAACATCTGTTATCAGGGCTGTAGCCGACAGGCAGGAATGTGGGATTTAGCTCAAAGCAGCATGTACAGGCAGGTCCGTGCTGTTTTGAATAGGAACATGTATTTTCTAAATGAAGATGTAGAGGGACTAGAGAGGCAGAACATTGCCTAGTTACATTTCCTAAGACATCAGGGACTTTGATATAGCAGTATGCTCAGAAATGGAGGCGTTGTTTTTGTTGGACAACTGGAATAAGGTAAATGTGTATAATTGATTTCCTATTTCACATTTTAAACAGCAAGCCGGTTATTTCCTATCTCTTTTTTTTTTCTTGATGGATACATGCTCTCTCTGCTGGTTGCTAAATTTTTAAAACCTAATCAGAATTTAATGTGTAAGCAATACTTTGTATATGCCGTTTTTGAATTATACAAGGGTCATTTTGTTCAGGTGAAGTGGTTTCAAGTATTAAAAGTTCGATTTGTGTCAAATTTAATTCAGTGCCAAGCGATTTAAATTCTTCAACCTTCTTCTCCAATCTCTATAAAAAGGTGCTATCATTGAATCTCACAGAGTAATTACAATAATTACATCAGATTATGCTATTATAGGTTTGGGTTTCATTGAATTCCTTTTTTCTGTGCAATGGAACGGTTCTGTGGATGTTAAAGACTCTGCATGGAATTCAATGCCAATAAATAACCTTTGTTTTTATGAGTGTACATAACAGAATTCTTTGTGACTACATGTACAAATTGAACCATTGGTTGTATATTGTGCTGTGGTTGAACTCATAGACAGCATGTTGAGTAAGAGCACAGGAATGTCAGGGCAGGAAGGTCTGTCTCTTTCTCTGTGTGTGTGTGTGTGTGTGTGTGTGTGTGTCAGGTCTCAGAGGAAAAGGCAGCTTGCGGCCAGTGAGAGTCAGTGTGAGTTGGGCCAACGGGGTAAATCAGCATTATCTGTTTGCAAATGCCATTTGTGTGAGTGCAGACTCTATTCATCAGGGCAGTGAGTCAGCTGAGGATGCAGACGGGGAATGCCGGAGGCTGCATTTCTCCCACTCGCACTATTGTGTGTACTTGACTGGCTTAGCAGTCGTCTACACTACAAGACACCAGTTAGAGAGAATATATACACGTATGCAAGTATGTACCGTGGCCCTACAAATAGATAGTTCTGCCACAAAATTAAAACCGTCATCATTTACTCACCCTCAAGTCTGTCCAAACCTGTATGATCATGCCATGTAACACAAATAAAGTTATATTGCAGAATGTTCGAGCTGTTATAGGAATAAGAATTTACTAACAAAACTGAGTAAAAGATATTAAAAACGTGATTAATTGTATAAGAGTTGCAAGGTTGTTTCAACACTGTTCTTGCCTCTGGCAGGATCCTCATGTCCCGGAGCGAGTAAGTGAAAACACGCTGGTCATGGATAGTTTGAACCAAAATCTTACCATTGGACATCAGTCTCATCAAGTGCTCCAGGTGAGATCAAACTTTAATTACCACATGTGACAACATTTTATGTATATATATAGTGTTGTTTGTTTGTTTATTTATTTATTAAGAAAATAATACTTTTAATCAGCAAAGATGCATTACTTTGATCAAAAGTGACAATAAAGACATATATAATTTAAAAATAATTTATGACAATTACACTACCATTCAAAAGTTAGGAGTCAGAATTTTTTTTTCTTTTTTTGAAAGAAATTAATACTTTTATTCAGCAAGGATGTGTTAAATAGATAAAAAGTGATAGTAAAAAGACTCATATTGTTAGAAAATATTTCTATTTTAAATAAATGCTGTTCTTTTTAACTTTATATTAATTAAAGAATCCTGAAAAAAGTATCACAGGTTATTTATATATATATATATAGTGTATATATATTTATATATATTAAGCAGCACAACCGTTTTCAACATTGATAATAAATCAGCATATTAAAATGATTTCTGAAGGATCACGTGACACTGAAGACTAGAGTAATAGCTGATGAATAGTCATCTTTGCATCATAGAAATACATCTTATTTTAAAGCATATTCAAATAGAAAACCATTATTTTAAATTGCAATAATATTTCACAATATTACTGTTTTTATGTAGTTTTGATCAAATAAATGAAGCCTTGATGAGCATGAGAGACTTCTTTAAAAAAAAAAAAAAAAATTCTAACTGATCCCAAACTTTGAACGACAGTATAGTATTATGTGTGTTACAGTATATAATATTGTTTCTTATTTTCTTCTTTTCATAGTTTTTATTTTATGAGCAAAAAAGAGAAGCTCACAGAAGTAGAAAGGTCCCCCCCCCCTAATTACAGTTTTTTACAGTTTGCATAAAAGTCAGAAAGTAAATCCAGTGCTGATAGCAACACCTTTGTTCAGCACAGCTTCATAGAGGGAGCTTTTGTCTGGCAGTCAAGGTTGAGTGTTCGTGATACGAGGTGACAGGCAAAGTGTGAAACACACCTTTGGGGGCATCATTACCATCATCACCTTCTGCTTCAACATGATTGCCGCATCTATGTGGATTTCTCCCTGTAGTAGATAATCTATGGCAAATATGTTGATGGTATGACACAATGATCATCTCTCACTCACATCCTGTAAGCTCCGCTTTAATCGATTACACTAATTGCCTCCTGCTAATCTTGTTTAAGCAGTTTATTCTAAACCCAACCGTATACTGCAGCCCTGAGGTGATAATATGTTTTTAGTAGATGTTTGGGAAGGTGGGTGAACAGCAATTATCTGGAAGGCAGCTGTATGGTTAAAAATAATATTCCTATATTGCAATATTCCTATATTGCCTGTGCAAAATGAAATTCTGTCCACATTTACATATCATCATGATTGTGTCTTGAACAGAATTTACTTGCAAAATAAGTTGATGGATTCAGCTAATTTCGAGTTGAAAAATGATGTCATTGCATGATAGCAGAATTACAGGGTACAATCTTCCCCTCCCAGTCATTACCATTTTGCATTGTTGCCATGACAACCTCCCCCATGCTGAGCCTTTAAGTTTCAACGGAGGTCTACTCTCAAGATGTGACTGAAGGCACTTCTCTAGGGTTGAAGAGAATAGTAAGATGAGCACTCAACCGCCAGCTGAGAGCTCAGCTTGAATCACTTTGGAACTTCTTGTTATGAAATATTAAATAATTGTGGGTAATTTTAGCTGATGTATGAGTTGACTCACTATATTTATGGTTAGTATTGCAGCAGCACAATGGCTTTTGCGTCTTAGATTAGACACAGACATTTAAAGCAGTGGTTCTCAATCTTTTTGACTTTCAAGGCCCTTCATGACTTTTCTAGCTGGCCGTGATGTACAGTATATATATATATATATATATATATATATATACAGTATATATACACTACTGCTCAAAAGTTTGGGACTCAGTAAGACTTGTAATGTTTTTTAAAGAAGTCTCTTATGCTCATCAAGGCTGCATTTATTTGATAAAAATACAGAAAAAAACACTAATCTTTCAAAATGTTATTACAATATAAAATGATGGTTTCTATTTTAATAACCTTTAAAATATAATTTATTTCTGTGATGCAAAGCTGAATTTCCATCAGCCATTACTCCAGTATAAAGTGTCACATGATCCTTAAGAAATTTTTCTAATATGCTGATTTATTATTAGAATGATCAATGTTGGCAACAGTTGTGCTGCCAAATATTTTTTTTGGAAGCTGCAATATTTTTTCAGGATTCTTTGATGAATAAAAAGTTAAAAAGAACAGCATTTATTCAAAATATAAATCTTTTCTCACAATATAAATCTTTGCTATCACTTCTTATCAATTTAACACATCGTTGCTGAATAAAAGTTTTAATTTCTTTCAAAAAAAGAAAGAATAAAAATGTACTGACCCCAAACTTTTGAACTGTAGTGTATATTGTTAAAGATTTCTATTTTAAATAAAGGCTCTTCTTTTTAACTTTTTATTCATCAAAGAATCCTGAAAAAAGGTATCACAGGTTCCAAAAAATATAAAGCAGCACAACAGTTCTCAGCACTGATCATAAATCAGCATATTAGAATGATTTCTGAAGGATCATGTGACACTTTAGACTGGAGTAAGGCTGATGGAAATTCAGCTTTGCATCACAGAAATAAATTATATGTTAAAGTATATTAAAATAGAAACCTGTATTTTTCTGTATTTTTTATCAAATAAATGCAGCCTTGATGAACATAAGAGACTTCTTTAAGTCTTACTGATCCTAAACTTTTGAGCGGTAGTATATATACTGTATATATAATACTTTTTCATCATAATTTTAACCTAATAAAATATTCTAGAGTTTAGAATATATTAACTAGAAAAATGTATATTTATTATAATAAATGCCACTTAAGTTTTACCATTGTATTTAATTATTTTTAAAGATTATTTTAATGCTTGTTTTGTCTTATTTTAAGTCATGTTTGGGCCCCCTTGGAAGTTTGTTGAGGCCCCCTGGTTAAAACCCACCAATTTGAAGGGATAGTTACTTAAAAATGCTTCTGTCATCATTTAATCACCCTCATGCCTCATACTCTCATTCCAAACCTGTATGACTTTCTTTCTTCTATGTATCATAAAAGCAGATGATTTTAGGAACGTTCATGCTGATCTCTCCCACACAATGAAAATTGATGGGGACCAGAGAAAGTACATCCTCTGAAGCCATATAATGAAAATTGTATGGAAAAGAGCAGCCTGGACATTCTTATAAATAACTCCATTTGTGTTCCATGCAATAAAGAAATACATGGGGAACGTTCATGCTGATCTCTCCCACACAATGAAAATTGATGGGGACCAGAGAAAGTACATCCCCTGAAGCCATATAATGAAAATTGTATGGAAAAGAGCAGCCTGGACATTCTTATAAATAACTCCATTTGTGTTCCATGCAATAAAGAAATTTTCCTAAAAATTTCCCTATATAACATGCAAAAAACAATATGCAAAAAGAGTAGTATATCCGAATATATGCTATTAGAAAATTGTAAGTCACCATATGATGCCAAAGTCATATTAATGTAAAAACACGTGAGGATGGGAACATGATGACTTTTTTCATGTTTGAGTGAATACTATGCTTTTTTTAGAGCACTCCACTGGATTTGATTGAGACTGGGAAAGCCCTGAAGGTCCAAGCAGAGCGTCCCCATTTGGTTAGTCTAGGAAGTGGCCGTCTCAGTACAGCCATCACCCTCTTACCTCTGCCTGAAGGTAAGATTATTATTATATAATTGTATTAATTACATTATTATATTTATACTTCGGTGGACTTTTTCAAAAGGTTTGCAGTGATCTTAGATATATTTCCATTTTTATAAACTTGGAGGGAAAAAAGTGGAACATTCTCAAAATATGATCCAATACTGTTATTGTGTGGGAAGAAACACACACCTTTATATAAAACCAATATACTGTACACAGATGGCCAAATCCCCTGCGTCACCTCTGTGTTGTGATTGAAAAGCCAGTAACCCGACTCTGAGCCTTAAGCAGCATGGGGTCTTTTAAAACACCCTCTCTTAATTAGAAAAGCCCCTTTCTTCATTAACCACCCTTCATCTCCACCTACTTACTTTCTCTGACACTGACCAGCCATTCATACCAGTGTCTCCTTTATCAGTGTCCATCTGTCTGAATTCCTCAGAGACACATGTAATTATCATGAAGGCTTTGAGAAATTACCTTATGAAAAGGGCATAAGAGAAGGGGTTTTGAATGCTTATTTATTTTATATTAGTCACTGCACTGTATTAGTATTATAAACTGATATACTCTCTTGTGTGATTCCTCTCAGGTCACAGACTTTTATCTCATGCCTAATAACAGATGAGGTTGGGAATGTGGTTCTTCTCACTGACAAAAAGCAGCCCAATATCCATGAATTAGCTCAGTTTAATTTAACAAAATAGACATCACACTTTGCTGAAAAAAGATCAATTAAATGCACTCTTGGTGAACATAAGAGAATTCTTTCAAAAACATTTCAAACCAATCTCAAACCTTTATACAGTAATATCTATCTAAAAGTAAAACAGACATAAAGTGCCTGGGCTTTCACTGACTTCTCTCTTCACCTGAGTACTTTTGCAACCTGAAACATAGTACATGTTGTCTGAGAGCAAACGATCTTTGAAATCAACATCCTGTGGGGGTTGTTTGTTTTAGGCAAGACCACTCTGGGTCACGGAACCATGGACATCAACATCCAGGGCCCAGGGATCACAGCTCAGCACTGCTTTATCGAAAACAAGGCAGGACTCATCACTCTGCACCCCTGTGGAAACCAGTGTAGCATGGACGGACTGCCGGTCACCAAACCTGTGCGCCTGTCTCAAGGTACACAACCACATTGTATACCTTTTATTCATTTACAATAGTCCAATCCTCAGGTTCAATCCTTCATTCAAATTAAGAATCTGAGTCATTACTTTCTGCAGCATCAGCCATACTAAAATTCAAACATGATTCTCAAGTGTAAAATCTCTTATGAAAGGGAATCAATGCACCCAAACTGAAGGAAAGCCCTATTCATTTACAATAGTCCAATCCTCAGGTTCAATCCTTCATTCAAATTAAGAATCTGAGTCTTACTTTCTGCAGCATCAGCCATACTAAAATTCAAACATGATTCTCAAGTGTAAAATCTCTTATGAAAGGGAATCAATGCACCCAAACTGAAGGAAAGCCTGCCCCTCCTCTGTGTCTTTTGTCTGAGGGAACAATTTGACTAAACAGGTTGGGGGGAGGGGTGTGTTTTGGGTGATCTTCATTATTGTGCCAGCTTCTAGTGTTTCACTATTGTTCAATACGTTTGCTCTGAAATATTCAGTTTGGTGTTCAGAATAAGAGCCTCATTTAGTGCAACCCTTGATTTGTATTATCTTGAATGTGTAAAAGAGTCATAAAAGAGCAGGAACCTGTGGAAAGATTGTCAAATGCAATAACTGAAGCAGAAACCCCCCGTTGCCCCCCTGACATGGAGAGATTGCGGCTCTGACTCAGGGGGTGAGCAATTACACCTCCTTTCCCCATCCCTTATCTGAGAGGGAAATTAGTTGCACCAGTGACGGAGACAGCTGTTCAACTTTACCACCCATCACTACGAGAGCGTGCAGGGGTTCAGTGACTTCAGAAGTGCTCGGATACAATACGGCATGGCAATGGACATGATTATATTTCTGTGACTGGGTTTATAATGGAAGCCTCTTCACTACGACTGCGTACGATGGACACTTATTTCAAGTTAACGATAAAGAAATCCGTTAAAGCATGGGGAATAGTTGATGGATACTCTATGAACAAAGGATTTACCATGACAAAGCAAGTCAGTGTCTGCATGCTACAGCTATTGGTATAAAACCATGTGCTCTCCTTTTTAAAGGGACAGATAGGATGTTGCCTACAGATGGGATGGGAAGTTGATCGTTTGGATTTAAAAGTAAGTGTATGAGGACCTAATGGATTTGTTTGAGTAGTTTTTTGGTGTGAATATTCAAAAATGATATTTAAAAGCAACAGATTTTTTCTCAGATACAAGCTCTCTGTGATGAAAGTTCACTTTGCAATGTTGGTTTATTAACATATATAGTTTTAAATATTTTTGAGAGATATTTATACCTTTTTTTCAGCAAGGATGCATTAAATTGATTAAAAATGGCAGTAAAGGCATTTATAATTTTACAAAAGATTTCTATTTAAAAATATGTTCTTCTTTTGAACTTTCTATTCACCAAAGAATCCTGTGAAAATCACGGTTTTATAAAAAATATCAAGCAGTTTCTTGAGCAGCGAATCAGCGTATTAGAATGATTTCTGAAGGATCATGTGACACTGAAGACTGGAGAAATGATGCTGAAAATTCAGCTTGGCATCACAGGACTAAATTACATTTAAAAATATATTCAAATAGAGAAGTTTTTTTTTATTGTAATAATATTTATAATATAACTGTTTTCACTGTAATTTTAGTCAAACAAATGCAGCTTTGATAAGCATAAGAGACTTCTTTAAAAAATCTTAAAACAAAAGAGTTAAACATAAATGATAGGAATATGATAAGTATAAATACACTAACATAAATATAATATTATCATAAAATGTGTATACACAGGGTGCATAACCCACAATAAACCAGTCCAAATCTTGCAGAGAGGTTTTCTCTTGCATGTTGGCAGGGGCATGAGTGTGTGTATAGTGTTACACTTCTATTCCTGGTTAATGTGACCCAAGAGTGCTGCTACTCCTGTTTCTATGCAGCCCTTCTTCAATCTCCACACACTGTTTGCTCAGTCAGACTATCCACACATGCTTTTATTTGTCCTGAACATATACTGGCAACCCTGCTGGAATAGCTGACGGAAAGATAAGGGGATTTTTCCTTATTATTCTGCTTTAAGTTCCCTGTCGTCACCCAGTATGTTCATACTTAACCTTCACAGTTTGTGTTGGGTCACATTTGAACTAAATGTGAAACCATCTGCTCAAGAGATAGCCACCGTCTAAGAGGTTGGTCCATGCATTGAGAGTTAGACATTTTTGTGTGTGTGTTTGTGTCATGCACACTTTGCATGCAGAATGATCCATTACAATGCATTTTTACAGCTTTCACATGATATAAATCATATTTATTTTTAACTTTGGCACTTATAAGCTGCATCACTTGTGGTTGTGAGCCACATGCTTTCTGGAATGTGTGGAATTGGGTAAAGGTTAGAATGAAATACTGGTTTGTTTAGGTTTTTGACCTTTCCAGGCGCGTTGTGCGTTCTTTTTGGCATCTCTGTCTTGACGTCTTCTGTTCACGTCTCTGTGTTTTCAGTTGGAACAGTTTGGCACCCGTGACTCACCATACTCTACGTCCTGCCAGCTTTACTGAGATCTAAACTATAATGCAGTTGGTTTGACACAGATCCAGCACTCTTATTTTTACTGAAAGTGCATGAGGCAGCTCTGTACTGCTCTGTCATCCGTGGTTTGGAGAGTGAATAGTTCTGTCAAAAATGACCAAACTTTATATGCAACCCTTTTCATCCCTGTGATATAACAAGTCAGGATGAAGAACTGAGTGCATGCAGATATTTTGCTGTATCTCTGAGTCATTGGTGCTTCTTTTACAAGAAATTGGAACTCTTCCCACTATATCTGTGATGCACCACTGGGTTTGTGCTATAGAAAGGTCATCTGTTTCTGCATTGATTTCATGTGTTAGAAAATGAAGAGAACAGAAAACATTTTAGAAAGCTGTACTTTTTGTTAAGCTTCATGTTCTTTAAGGGGTGTGAAAGACCCTGAGGGTCTTTCTTGCTCATAAAGGACACTTAACATTGAAGGGTAAAGATTGATGTTTTATAAAATATCTCAAAACTGATGCAAACTGTTTTTAAATAAAATTTTGTACAGAACATTATTTATATTTGGTGTCTCAGAGACCACAGTTACAAACGTGGAAAAAAAATACAATTAAACATTATATGTAATTTATTTATGTAAAATTATATGTAATAACAAATCATTAATTAAATAAGGAATTATATATAATATCATGTCATACATAAATAACATATTGTAAATAATGTATAATAATGTATTTAAATAGTATAATATTTAAATACATTATTTAAATACATTTTATTTAATATTATATACCCCACCTGTTTAGCTTATATAATGCATTTAGATATCATTATGCATTTAGAAATTATGTTTTATTAATTATTTAATAACTATATTACTTGCATTATATTATATATAGTTATACATAATTATAATGATGTTATATATAAATAATAAATTGTACATAATATATAAATAATATATTGTAAATAAAATATAATAATGTATTTAAATACATATATACTATTTAAACAAATTATTTAAATACACTGTATGTAATATTTTATGCACCACCCATTTATTTGATACATATTTAGATTTTAATGTATTAAGATGCATCATATATAATAAATACAAAATTAAATAAATATAAATACAGTACAAAAAGTAGTTTAACTTATAGGAAGCAAAATAAAAGAGGGAATAATAAGCTTTATTAAAGAAAGTGCAAAGCTTTATAAAAAAAAAATTAAAAAAAAACCTTCACTTCAATGTAATTTATTATTTCTCAGGTGATTTTGGCATGGATACACCTGCACTTTCTTTAATGAGTTTGGCTTCTCAGAGTGCAGTTATGGCTGTTGTAGAGGAACGGTTCATCTGAGAGTGGTGGGGAATCAATCTCTCTGATTAATGTCGGGGAGACGGGCTGTGCATGGGGAACAGCCACTCTCCTGCTGTGCTTTCCAGATTCACGCGCCTCTCCCCACTCTTTGTCATTCAGTAGTGAGGTCTGTCTTCTTGCAAATGGCCTCATGAATTTGATTACAAAATGGCTCTTAGTCATGCTTTGCTGAGGATGACATCTATGACAAGGAGAGGTTATTTAGTGGTTCTGCTCTTCAGAGCAGGTCACACTGTTCTGACAAATGTGTCTTATTTCAACAGAAATTAAAAAATGAGTCATCGGTATGCTTTATACTTTTTTTTTAGCAATATTTTTGTGATAATGGAAAGTGGCTGCAGATGCACAGCAGTGGTGTTGAAATAGGGATATTTACTATGATAAATTAATGTTAAGTAAGATTTGTCAGTTCAGTTTTCCTATTTTGGAGAAAAGTATTGGACTAAAACTTTCAATTTTCTTTTTAAAATATATGAACGTAAAAGTCAACAAAATATTTATTCTTGAGTATAAAGTATAAATGTAGGCTACTGTATTTAAGGGCAGTAACAAAGTGTTTATACTAAGTTAGTTTATACACCTCTGTTTATAAATGGGGTAAAAGGGCTGCATTGAAAGCACCATGATCGCACATCCATACCTGTGGCGAGGAACAGCACCACAAGGGGTTGAAATCGTATATCATCTCCTTGACTTCCACCAAAAATATCTGTGTTAAAAGTATCCATAATGACTGGCAGAGAGAGAGAGGCCGTCTATAAACAGGGAAACACTGTCCATGTTTATCTTTGGATTTTACCACTATTGCATTTTCAAACTCAGCGCCCCCCTCAGGACAGAATCATCTGTGACTGTGGGTGGTTTGTGGGCTTGATGTCTATGAACAGTCCTTTCAAGTAAAATATAGGTTTCTTTGAATATTGTAAATGAGCAGCGTTCAGTCGTTGCTGCAGCATGTCTGAAATGGATCGATTGATAGGTTCCCTCCTCAGCAGGAGTGATTCTTGGCTCACGTATTTTCCCTTGTGTGCTGTAGTGTTGTCTGATGTGCTAGATTACCCTCCATCGCTGCACTTCAGAAATCTACTTCCAGACTCTTCACTTTGCATTGTGGATAAATCCATCAACCTTTGTGGTGTTATAGTGGCCAATCTGAGGAAATCTACTAGATTTTTACTGACACCTAAAGTACTGACATTCAAGTTGGTCGTTTACTGCCAGCTATATTTAATCTTCATCAGACATTCAGTGTGTATCATATTAACTTCTGTGATATTACTGTACTGTTCTCGGTTTGACACCATGGGGAATTTTTTACCTCTTGTTACCACTGTTGGTATTAGTATATCAATCATTTCCTGCATGCCAAGACTACTTAACACAGACCTTTTCACTTTCTGCCACACATAAACAAAGACATTACATTTGATATCCCACTGTTCTCTGTATAATAAGAACTATGTGTTTCTGTGAAATGATGCAATGAAAGAAAGCTTACAATAGTGCTCAACCACTTCTGGTGTGAACCTTGCTCTTCGTAATGATAAAAGGCAACTGATATATACATAAAGTCAGCTGAAATATGCCTGATTTGTAAAAATGGTTCAAATAGTTCCCTGTTGGCACTTAAGGGTAAAGATGCTAAGGTGTTTTCCTGCTGTGTATTGATTGAATTGCAGTCTGAGCTGTGGTCAGGAGTTCTGGTGGATCAGTGAATCTCAGCTATGACAATGCAGGGCTTTACTGTCCTGTGCTATATAATAAAATGTTTATAGATAGATACATAGATACTATGGATGATGGATGTCAGATACAATAGTTATGATATGGTATGATAGATATGATACAATACACCACACTAGATATGATACTTTACAATTAATACAATACTGGACAATTAATACAATTGATACGATACAGTACAATACAATACAATGCGATGGATTAAAAGCTCTAGGACGAGTCAAAACAAAGTTATTTTGAAGGAGAAAACCCCTCTAAACTAAAAGTGTCCAATAACAGTATTTTGCCTTAGTTAAACCAGCATAAGCACCATAGGCTCTGCTCCGATGGACCACATGATGTGTTTTGAGGGTAAAATCTTGCACACGAGTAATTTTAGAGTTTTGCAACCTTTTCTCTTACAGCTGTGCAGATGAATTGCACAAGTTTGCTTGCTATCACGAGCACGTCTTTACCACATCACTGAATTAACTGCTGTGCATCATTTTTAATGGCACATTTGTACAAAGACTAATTTGAGCACAATGCTTGTAGATCAAAATAGGAAGGCAGTGAAGCTGCTGTCGCATGTGTGTTTGTTGTTTGACACTGCTGCTTGCCAATAGTGATTGAGCTTGTCGGCGGATCGTGCCGATGCAGCGGATGCTACAGTTATTGTCTGTAAAAACGCTCAAATATGATTTCGACAAGGCACAAAACAAAGTCTCGCTGATGTGGTTTGCACCTCAGACCTCAATATACTGTTATTTTAAATAAAACATTTTATGAGTAAGCACGCAAACAAGTCTGTTAAATAAAACACTACTATAACTTTCTGTTCAACACATGTGCTTTGTGTATTTTGAGTTTCTTGTTTTGTTTTGCTTACTCGTCTTTGAATGTGTAAGCAGAGCATGTCAAGACTTGAGCAAGCCTAGAAGAGTCTTTTTATGACAACAACCACCATCAGTTAACAGTCCTCATTCTTCTATTCAGAAACAACATGAAACATCTATGTGAGAATACCACTTAAGCACATGATTTACTTTACTACAGCGGTTCTTAGTTTTCTTTGTGGGCTCTAATCATACCTTGTCCTGTCAGAACCTGAGGGGTAATCAAATGTTCTGCCTGTAACAAAAGGGCATCTGGCACTCTGCATTCATCACACATCTGCTCCGGCTAGAAAGGTTTCCATGAGACCTTTACCTACCTTGAATAAATCCTGTGATTGGCCAGATTAGCTCTGGCAGTTTAATATAACAAAAGTGCTTTTTTGTTTGTTGGTGTGTGTGTGTTTAAATCACTCATTTTGGCCGATATGGTAGTGACATATATAAAAAATGTAGAGCATAAATAAATATACAATATCAATATATATACTGTATATATATTCAATACTGACTTTTAAATCACTAATATTGGCATATATGGTACCAATATATATAAAAAAGCCAATATATAGGACAAGGTTTGATTTGATCCATTGAAAATGTATTTATTTGTTTTAAATGATCTTTATATGATAGATGGTTGCATGATAATAAAGAGCATTCACTATAAGACCAGGAATGTGTATTAGGAAAGTAAATAGGGTTCATTTAGATCTCATGTTGACTTTAACTGGCTACATTACCAGCATTTGGCTTGCCTATTTTCCCCTCACTCAGCAAGCCAGGAGTCTGATCCGACATCACAGTGTGAGATGTTCTTGCTAGTTCATGTAAAACGGGGGCAAACATTCCTTTACCCCCTCCGTACCTCTCACACAGCGGTACAAAACTGGTCTAAAACTGCCGGGATCCTAGTCAAGATCATTTAAAATGCCTTCTTCAGGCATACGAAGAAGCGTTATGCATTTTCATTCTCAGCTTCATTAAAAGTGGTTTTGGTTTGTGTGCAGGCTGTATGCTGTGTTTCGGCCAATCCGCCTTCTTTCGTTTCAATCACCCTGAGGAGGCTTTCCGAATGAAAAGCATGATGCCTGAGGGAGGACAGACAGCCAGTGTGAAAAACTGGGCCCACACAGGTAATGCAATATCCTACAGGAGAACACACCTCGACAGTAGCATGAATTATCTAACACTTACCACAACACACTCAAAGGCTGTGCTGTGCAGAACGTCATTCGTGTGGAAAATGCATTCCTGTAGAACCTCAAAACCTTATTTGTGTACTGTCTGAAATCACAGTACAGAAGAATATGTGACATCCCTGACATATTACTCACTCTGTTACATACAGATGTGTTTTAGGTATGTTAACATGTTGAAAAAAACAAAGAAACAAGCTGTATTTCCTGTGCGAGCACTATACGAAACAGATTTACAAATGGGCCATTTATACAGATTTGGTCTTGCCACATGGCTGAATGGCAAGGTTTGTTTCAGTAGCACAGGTATCGGCTTTCAGCCAGCCCTTACTGCATTTCCGTTTCTAACTGTTAGCAATGCAAGCCTGCCTGGATCCCGAGTTGCACCATGCAACTTTTATGAAGAGCTCATTCCTGTGGGTCTCCTGACAGACTGCTCTACATCGTCCACTCCCCACTCACAGTGCTACACAGCAGCCAATGTTTAAACAGAGATTTTAAAATATGTATTGAGTTGTTTTCCTGAATTTTCCTGTTGTGTGGCAGAAAAGGACAAGTACAGCATATAAACACAGCTGGTGCAGTATATTTCCTGAGCTGGTAATAAATTCTCTCCACCATGAAACACTATTTTTGCAAACAACATACCCGCTGCATTCCTGTTCAATATTTATTTTTCTTATTTTCCAAGTGCCTTAATGATCTAAAACTACATAGCTAAAATAATTTAGATTTTTCAGACTCTATAAATCAGTCTTTAAACAAATTCCAGATGCCAAAAGCACATGGACAGCTTTATGTACATGCCTTTTGTACAAGAACCTTAAAGGAATAGTTCACCCAAAAATGAACATTCTGTCATCATTTACTCACTCTCAAGTTGTTCCAAACAGTTGCTGGTAGCCATTGACTTCCATAGTATGGGAAATATACTATGGAAGACAATGGCTACCAGCAACTGTTCGGTTATCAACATTCTTCAAAATATCTTCAGAAGAAAGAAACTCATACAGGTTTGGAATGACACGAGGGTGAGTAAATTATTACAGATTTTTTGGGTGTACCATCCTTTTAAGATGCGTGCATCTAAACTCTTGTGCATAAAGCATGTATATAAAGCAGTCCTTGTGCTTTTGGCAACTGATATTTGTTTATAGACTGATGTATAGAGAAAAGAACCCCCTTCACACGTTCTCTGTGCCAGAGCTATTTCCTTATCCATCTTTCTTCCAGTCCAGACAGCTTTGTTGGCCATGCACTGCTTATTTAAAGTTGAGGGGTATCTTTTACAATATCTATATTTATTTCACCACCCACCCTGCTCTCCAGTCCCCTCCTCACTGTTCCCCTCATATTCTCCCAATATCCGGCTGCCTCATTCCCACACAGCAGGTCTGCTTGATGTTCTTGATGATATTTCAGTATTACTCAGAGAAGTGTGCGATATAGTCACAGATATGCTTTTATTGCTGTCTGTCTACATTATCCCAGTTATTACTTGGCAACTAAAATAAATATTATATTATATTATATTACATTATATTATATATTATGTTATATTATATTAAGCTAGTATGTACAGCATATCAGCTGCCAGTTTAGAAATTCTCATATAAAACATTTTGAGAAAAAAAGAAACATTTTTTTATTTAAACTTAGTCACATCAGTGTCCATGTGAATTGATCTTGAAAATGTGCACTGTTGCTTTAAGTATGTAGACCCCGCCCCGTGCAGCCAGCAGTCAGTCACATCAGCACCGTGGACAGGGGAGGGAGGGGGACTCAGCGATGGTGTAGCGGCGCCAGGCTCACCAAGCCCGGCTGGAATATCTCATCTGCGGCGTTTTATACTCCTGCCTGGGTACCGTGTGGCCGGTACAGCTGGCCTAGGTCTCGAACCGGAATGCGGGAGCCGTACTTTTGAAACTGAGCTCGGTTCTGGGTTATAAACCAAGCGCAGCGGCTTAGCGTTTCCTCAGGCGTGTTCTCATCTGTAAGTACTGGTCGTTATAGAAGCTGTATATGTGTCAGATCGCATACGGACGTACTATATGTAACATATGTATCCTTTTATAGTCGCGACTTGACAAGCTGACATGTATCAGTCACATTTAAGCCTGTCTTTATAACCATTGTATCGGTGTGCTTGTGCTTTCTTGAAACCGTTTCTTGTTCAGTGGGATTTAAATGGAAAATTGAGCCAGAGTAACTGTCAGCTGCTCTGACTTATTTCAAAACCACGATGACTATAAAAAAAATAATAAATAACAACATTTAGAAAGGGGGTTGTGTTTTATGCATTATTTGTGAGGAGTTTGAACTGGGAGTGTTTTGTAATCAGGAGAGATTTGTGGGATAGAAACGCAAACACTGAGCTGGTAAGAGCAAGATTGATCAAGTTGTGGATGTTGTGAAATCAGTTCTGTGACTGACTCAGAATCAGTCTTATGTATACATAACACCTACTGTATGTAATAAGTTTGATACAGCTTTAAAACGTTTACATCTGGAGTGTTATATGAAAATAGTAATAATGTTCTGATGAATTGACAGGGAAAAATCATAAATTTGGCATTATTTTGACATTATTTTAAATATAGTGGATTAGAACAGAAGTTTTCAAACTTTTGTGATGCCAAGGACCTCCAAATATGAAGATTGCTGTACCAGGGATCCTAATGTTATATGTTTAAACTTGAGGACAAGTATTTTCAGTTAAATTTTATTTAGAATTTAATCAGATTTATTTGAACTGGATTGCTTTTCACTGTAAAAATTGTTCCAAAGCAGAATATTACTATAATATTACATTGCAGACCCCTAGCTCCCCCTTGCAGACCCCCTGGGGTTTCCCGGACCCCAGTTTGAAAACCACTGGTTTAAATAATGACCATTTTTACTTTGTAGGTCTGTCTTAGCAGATTAACCATTTACATTGGAGTTGGTCTGTTGCCTGAGAGATAGATTGAATTACCAGCAGGGCTGTCTGTGATTTAGCTATATGAGCAGTGAGCACGTATTCATTTGACGTTTATCCTCTCAGGCTGGAGCCTGGCAGGCTTTCTCTCTGAATTTCCATTTTGGTAACCACTATTTCTACTTGAGCATTCGTCTTTTGTGGGTTTGGCAGCAGTGTTAAACTTGTAGGCTGTTGAATGGGGCTAATGGATTAAATGCATATCTGCAGTGCCAAAGGAGCTGCAGGTACTTGCGTTAAAAGCTCAGGTGTAGTACTGAGGATAATAGTTGGGGTTAGGTGGGGTGAAGAAGCCAAATGCATCCACTTACTCGTAAGTGCTTTTCCTGTTTTCTGCACTCAGTTGGGCTATCTGGCTAGTGATGGGAATTCTGAATCGTTATTGAGAATCGATTCTTTCAAGTTTCAGTTAACTAGTTCAGCATTTTTTTTTTACATCATGTAGTTGTCATCACATGGTCCCTGACATCTTGACATGGTATTCATGGTCAAGTAAAGATATACGAAAGCACGTATGGCAGATTTATTATGGGTTTTCTATTAAGTTTAAGTAATTTGAAGCCTAAATATTATATTAAACAACTATAAATTCACTTAAATTTATTTGCTGAAGATTCTGTAAAAGCTGTTTATTAAAAACCAACAAACCATTAACAGAGTCATTAACATATTTCTAGTATGTTTTATTTGTAACATTTCTGCTATTCCACTAAAGTAACTTACTTTTAGCCCAATCAGTCAAAGCCTTAAATATTGTCCAACTACTCACTACCAGCTTGTCCATTATTTAAAAAAAAAGAAAAAAAAAGACTGTTCTCCAGTGATTTGGTGAGCTGTTGACTCAAAAACCTTTCAATCTAATATGAGGACAAATTATTCAGAATGGTTTTGTGAGCCATTTCCACTGATTCAGAGGAAAGATTTGTTTATTAATCAATTGCGGCTACACCTTAACTGTTCTAGAAGATATGGATTTAGATTTTTGTGTATGGCAAAGGCTTATGACTGTTATCTTTTCCTTCAGATTCCGAGAACCTGGTTAATGGGAACCACTCGTCAGGAGTGCCAAAATCTCACTTGGTCTCCAACGAGAGAGTGCGCCCTGAGCACAGTGCCATCGTCAGTTCCATTGAGAAAGACCTTCAGGACATTATGGACTCATTAGTCATGGATGACCCTCAGCCCTCTTCCTCTGAGTCAAAGAAGCCCTCTGGTCAGCCCATCTCCCAGTCTCCCTTGTCCCCCATGTTAAATGGAGGGGGGCGCTTCCTTCTCTCACCCCCAATGAGCCCTGGTGCTATGTCTGTGGGCTCCAGTTATGAGAATACCTCCCCTCCTTTCTCTCCTCTCTCATCCCCATCAGCTGCCAGCAGTGGCAGCTACACCAGTATTTCTCCGAGTGGTTGTCAGGACCAGCTTCACACGCTTCCTCCTGTACCAGTGAGGTCTTCTAGTTACAATTACACCAGCCAGCCACCCATACCTCAGCCACGGACCATACTGCCAAGCTATTCAGGTGGTAACAGTGGGTCAAAGGTGCCTGAGAGTCCCAGACTCCAGCGAAAGGCTCTTTTAGAAGCACCGCCAAGCCCAAAGCCAAGTCGTAGGGGGTTGAACCAAGACAGCTCGGTGGCTAAAACCCCAGACAGCCCCATACAGACTCACATTCTGCCCTCAGTCTCCATCTCTACTGCTCCGACTGATTACCCATCTGTCAGTCGGGTTCCAGTTCCCGGCAGTCCCAGACTGACCCCCAAATTCTCCACTGCATCCCCATCCTCCTCACCTTCTAGCCTTAGAACCAAAACTGCCATTGTTCTACAGGATCGGCCCTCAAGTCCTTTCCGGGAGCAGCCTCAGCCGGATCGTTCCTTGACCTCTAGCCCCTCTAAACAACTCTCCCCACCCTCACGATCTTTCCAGCCCCCTTTGGACCCCATTGTCCACATCATTCAGGGTGGACCTCCACACCCGCATCCTCACACATTGCAGCCTCCAGAAAGTCCGCGGCTGGCCCGCAGGAACCTTGAAGGGAATAGCATGAGGGAGCTTCCCCCTCTTAGCCCCTCCATAGCTCGCAAGGGGGTTCCTGTGCTCCCTGGAGCTCTACCAGGAACCCTGCGGACTCCAGAGAGTCCATCCCCAAGAATGGTGCCAGAGAGTCCCAGACTCAGGCGGAAAGCAGGGTCTCCTACAGAAGAACCATTCAGCCCTCGTGGGATGCGTGCTCGTAGTCCTTCACCCACTTCTAGACTGATGGGGGAAGGCAATGGATGGAGGGGCAGTTTTGGGAACTCGCTCTCTTCTGCCTTTAGCCTGGGTTCTCTGCCTGGGTCATCGCCCCAATCCAGTCCCAGGAGCCACAGAAAGATGTCAGTGGGCCACAGGGACCTCCGGATGCCTCACCCTGGTATGAGGGAGCGCAAAAATAGCATCACAGAGATCAGCGACAACGAGGATGACCTTCTGGAGTACCACCGGCGCCAAAGAGAAGAACGACTCAGGGAGCAAGAAATGGAGAGGCTGGTGAGTGAGATGCAGTAGTACCTTTACATGCATTTATATAACACAATATCAAACCAAGTCTTCATACAGTATATCCACTAAAATGACCTCGTCACCAAAGTAAATTGCAGTTAGCTCTGAGGAAAGCTCTAACATCATTTGTTTGAAGATGCCCACTTGAAAGCCACATCATAGTATAAAGAATTCTTCTAAGAAATACTCCTCTGTTTGTACATGTCAAGTAGAGTGCTGCCTCTGCATGTCTTCCAATGATATGTAAATTGCAAGTTTCTGCAGTTAATATTTTCCAGAAAGTGCACACTGATGGCTGTATCTAATCTTAACACACCTAGCAAGCATTAGCAATTGTGCTTTTGGTGAGAATGCAGGACATTTGGAGGAAATGCTACTACTCGTCTCGGCAGAACTGACACACACTGACTAATCTGCTGTCGTGCTGAGGCAGAGGCCTCTGATTTTACCATGGCAACCCCATTGTTTGTTTGACTGCAGTCTGGAGGCTAAATCTGAGCCGCAATGAGCAAAGGTGGCGGATTTAAAATCGGATACTAACAAGGGGTCCTATGCTAAGCAACTGGCATTGAGATTAATGCGATTCCTAATGGATAGGTTTTCAGGAGTAGAGGTGTACAGGTTTTTATTAGTAGTGATGCACCTAAATCAATGCAGTAGTGATGTAGCCACCTCTTGATATTTCAGCCATACAAATTTTACATATTGCTATTCTAACATCATTTTTGGTCACAGTGAAGCGCATCCACACTGCTGACATTTTTACTTGTTGTAGCTTAACCACGTTGTGTGTACGCACCTTCGTAGAAATGCCACTGTTTTGGTCAATGGTTCGGCCGAAACCATTTTTTTTTGTGTGCTGAATATTCTTGGTGGTTGACATTTGTTCTTTAAACACAATTTAGTGTTCTGTTACAAATATCTGCATATTCTACTTTGTTATTATTGCACTAGATCACACGTAGTCAGATGCGAATAAACAAAAAGGGCTTTCTTGACAAAAAGTTCTGACTCATTCAGGATGTAGCATAATCAGAACTTCTGAGATCACCACTCAGCAAACTGTGAACATCTAAATGATTTTTCTTTTTCAAGAAAGTGTATTTTTTCTTCATTTTGTGCATGTACAGCTGAGTAAGTGTAAGCAAGTTCAGTCTGCGGTGCATAATTTATCATCCCTAAACTGCTACAAGGCTCCAGAGGGATACATAGTTATATGGCGTCAGTTACTAGAAAACCGTTCTGTCAGTCAGCTCGTGTGCCATACTGATGCCAGCCCTGCTAAAGATGACCTTGTTTTTTTTACTGAGAGCTCCCATGATGACAGCACATTTCCATTACTCCATAAAACTGACATTTGCTGCATGGGAAAAGCAGTCAGTCAGTGAGGAAGTACCACTGATCTATATAAGATTTTATAGATTAGTGGGAAGTACGCTGTTTTAGTTAAGTTTATTTACTGAGACAATTTTTTTAAGGGGAAATATAATCCAATTTGTATTTTTACTAAGATTTTTTTTTTTAGCATTTTTAGCACTGATCATTATATTATATTATATTATATTTATAATATTTTATATTATAAAGATAATTTATATTGATTCCTCTTGGTGCAGTAAACCTTGCTGACATCATTTATTATCATTTATCATTATAATAATAATAATACAAATATTTTAAAAAACAGTGAACCCCTTTAAATGAACTGGAATGGTTATAGGTTGCAGGGAGGCAGGCAGATTGATAGAAACTGTTCTACTATGAAGACGTAACCACCTCCACGTTATTGGGAGGGCAGACATGGGTCATCTGCACAGGGGACAGAAGAAGTCTGTATGACAAGCATCTGTCCCACTGCTCTCGTGGATTAGCACATTAAATATGTCTACTTTCACTGGCCACATTATGCAGATACTTAACTATGCGTGTTTGTAACAGATAGAGAGGGAGGACGAGACAAGATTTTTTTTTTTAGCATTTTTAGCACTGATCATTATATTATATTATATTATATTTATAATATTTTATATTATAAAGATAATTTATATTGATTCCTCTTGGTGCAGTAAACCTTGCTGACATCATTTATTATCATTTATCATTATAATAATAATAATACAAATATTTTAAAAAACAGTGAACCCCTTTAAATGAACTGGAATGGTTATAGGCTGCAGGGAGGCAGGCAGATTGATAGAAACTGTTCTACTATGAAGACGTAACCACCTCCACGTTATTGGGAGGGCAGACATGGGTCATCTGCACAGGGGACAGAAGAAGTCTGTATGACAAGCATCTGTCCCTCTGCTCTCGTGGATTAGCATATTAAATATGTCTACTTTCACTGGCCACATTATGCAGATACTTAACTATGCATGTTTGTAACAGATAGAGAGGGAGGACGAGACAAGAGGTATTGTAATTCATTAACCCGGCATGCAACTGCGTTTTGACCCAGTAAAGTGCAATTAGAATCTTTTTGATGAAGATAAAAGCAGTATCCTCTGACACACAAGATGCATATAAGCTCCCTCTGGACCATTTTGTTGATGGTTTAATGTGTTTGCTTCCTGGGTTCTTGCAGTTCAGTGTAAAATGAGTTATCTGCTCTGGGACAGATTAATGCTGATTCTCCTCACAACAAGAGAGAGAGAGAGAGAGTATTTGGGGAAAAGAGACAGTTAACTGACTTTCTGTGGCACTGATTATCTGGGTCAGTGCAGACTTTACTCATTCTAACCCGGCTCTTGTAATCAAGACAGTGAAGAACAACACTGAGTAGCTTACAAAAAAAAATTTGAATTTCGAATATTCGTCGAATTTAAAATTAAAATCCACATTCACACACAAGATGCATATAAGCTCCCTCTGGACCATTTTGTTGATGGTTTAATGTGTTTGCTTCCTGGGTTCTTGCAGTTCAGTGTAAAATGAGTTATCTGCTCTGGGACAGATTAATGCTGATTCTCCTCACAACAAGAGAGAGAGAGAGAGAGTATTTGGGGAAGAGACAGTTAACTGACTTTCTGTGGCACTGATTATCTGGGTCAGTGCAGACTTTACTCATTCTAACCCGGCTCTTGTAATCAAGACAGTGAAGAACAACACTGAGTAGCTTACAAAAAAAAATTTGAATTTCGAATATTCGTCGATTTTAAAATAAAAATCCACATTCGAATGCAAAAACGTTGGAGGCAGCCTTAGGCACTTGAGATGTGATGGCGATGTAAGTGTCGTTGCATTATAATGTTTTTGTTTGCCTATCCAGTTGAAACCACTAGATGCGGCACTGCTGCGTTGTTCATTAAAAATACTGCGGAAAAAGAGAACATCAATGCGGAGAAGATCTTGTTTACATCAAAACTGAAACCAAGCAGTTCACACAGGACACATATTTTGTGCATTTTCTAGAGGGACATCTATCACCGTTGCACTCACGTCTCGTACAAAAGAGTGGCACTAGAAAGCCATGTAAAATTAATGCAAGTTTAACTTAAAAAAACATATATTGAGACTTTATGGCTGGGGTTTTTTCCTATCCCACTGCATCTTTTAAATGAAAAATGTACTCTGTGTGATCGGCTTTCCGCCCTTTGTATTAAACTATGCATACATACTGTACATGATGCTGTTTTGTTTATAGTTTTTTAAGTAACTTAATTAATTATAATTGGTTTATAAACATTATTTTAAACAATTTTCACTTTTTTCACAGATAGTCATTTTATCTTATGCTTTGAATAAACGTTCATTAGTAATATTTTTCTCGATGCGCCCTCTTGTGGCCTCAGGCGGGAAGCCAAAAGCTTTTCTTCACCCTAATTGAAATTATGCATTTTAAATTCGAATATAATTAGAATTTTGATCATATTTAAGTTCAAAATTTGAAATTAGTTTTTCAGCCATTTTGACAGCCCTAACACCGAGCGCCCTTAGCAACAACACATCGAGTTATATAAAGCAATATTCAAGGATTCTCAAAAAGATCTGTTTGACATTTGCACAGGTGACTTTGTAATCCTGAAAGATACAGATATCGATACTAGAGTTTGATACTTACAGTACATGACAGTCGCTTGTGGTGCTTGATTTCCATTGTTCAGATTAATAAAGTCTTGTGATTTTATTTGTGATGCAAGTATCATTAGTAGCTATTGTTCATACTTAATGTTAAAGATTTGAACAAACCCTAAAGTATCAAACTTAATTACATAGATCGTCCCACATGTTTGCAACCAACACAAATTAAACCTCAGTTCATACAATTTGTTGAGGAGAGTGAACCGACAATTATGTTTCTTTTAATTTTCCCTGATGGTGTTTTGTCTTTGTGTGTATGACCCTGTGCACGGTTTGTATATGAGAATTGTCCATTTTGGACAGGGGATATTTTTTTTTACAGTGTAGCAGGAAAATATAAATGTGTGAGATAAAATATAAATTCTTCTTCTGCCCTTGAGCAGAGACCCTTCTGTCCCTCCACACTGGTGTTTTTGAAAAGAGCTGGCAGTGAAACTCTTACTGTTCAAAAGCGTGCCAAGGGATTCACACAAGCGGCAGTTAGTTCTGTCCTCCTCTGCATCTCGATGCTCTAAACTTGGCCATGAAATTACACAATAAGCCAAACTGATAAACCTGAAGAGGCCACAGGCCACACTATATCCTTACCTTTATAGTGCATTTGTACAGATAACAGGCAAGGTCTAATAGTAACCACTATTTATGTCTTGTTCTTTTTGCCAGGTATCTGAAGGCTTTTAGAGAGGGCCCTGTTTTCTATCTTTGGTCGCAGAGGATAATGCATCAGTTATGTGAATTATATGCCACTATTCTGTACAATACTCAAGTACAAGTTTTCTGTTTATTAGGCCACAAGTAGACCTTTATGTGTACTTTCAGACACACAAGGGCAAGTAGTCTTTGAAGAAATGAATAAAAAAAAAAAAAAACCTTATTTAGGTTCTCGAATACTGTGTGTTTATTTATGG